CACACACTTATATATAACAGCAGGCGTGAATTTAGAAAACATTTTTGTTGCGGTCGTTAACGCTTGGATGAATGATCATTGGAGCGCTAATAAATAGTTCAGCAGTGATCACGTGAGGGGGAAATGTTAATATTTTGTCGTCCGGTGCTTCATATCTGCCCGCTCATTTGTACAATGCAATGTGTTTGTCATTTGGCCTCGGTAGCGCAAAGTTTTTTTTTTTATTTTTTTTATTCTATAAATCAAACACTGTCGAACGCAGAGAATGTAACGACAAGCAAGATGTGATGCATGGAAAATATGAGTTGGGGTTATAAAAAATATTATTTGCGTTAGGTAAAACCATATTAAAGTAAATTGTGATAATAACAAAATTTTTATAGTAAACTCTAGGTTATTTTCATGATTGCTTGGAATGTTAAAAAACATTTTTTTACTCAACATTTTGCAATTTGTTTGAAATTTATTGTAATTTTTTTATCTCAATCCGAAGAAGCATGCCATTTCATTGACAAAATTTATCATAGTTTAAGCTTATTTCCTATTTCTTAAGAATTTTTAAAATGTTGATTGCTTAATGTCATGATGCGAATGTTTGTTATGTTGTATGTTGAACTATTAGAAAGTTCATGCGAAAAACACGAAACGACATCATTTCATCTCTCTACCTGCTCTTTACTTCTTCAGCTCTCAATGTTAGCTGGTTTCATTTGTAGACATTTTTTGTTCTGTTGCTATGTATGTTGTGTTTGTATTGTTTCGAAGTCTCATTTTTATATTGCTGAACAGCAACAACATTGTTTTTTCCAATATGTGTGCATGTATGTGATGCGGATATATGTAAGAAATGCTCATGTGTGTCTATGCTTTCCCGTGCACATTACATTCGTGCCAGATCTGTGTGTTCCACCGTTCAAATGCTTATAATAACTAGACTAAATTTTTTTAATTGCAACTTTAAGAATTGCAGTAGTGCGGAGTTTTTCTTTCTCTTTTTGAAGATGTATTCGAAACGTAATTAAAAAATAGAAGCATAGCTGGAAATAATAGAACATAAATGTCGAGAGCTGTTTCTTGCACGTGAAGAAACAAATACATACAAAACAATCTAGAACAAACAGCCAACCACCACAAATGATGAACAACATGAGACAATTATGACTAATAACAAATTTTGAAATGCACTCCTTAAATTTATATCCATGTTTTTGTGTTTTAAATTGCTACCTAGTGCGCGTGTACGAATATGTATGTGTGTGTATATGCGTCTGTATGTGTGTAAGTGTATGAGCATGTGTACGCTTGTTTGTGCATAAGTACAACTTTTACATGTATGTGCATGTAAGTGGAAAGACATAGGTGAATAATTGTAATTTGGCTTCAAAGAGTTTGCAATTAAACAAAAAATAGTAATTAAACATGCTACAGCTCAAGACACCACACAGAAACAGCAATAAAACGGCGGCGTCTTAAATATTCCTTTCCTTCGCTTCTCCAATATGTATATTTGGAAGTTTAATTCAAATTTGGCATAAAATATGACTTTTTTTTAAGTTTTGATTTTTGAAAAAATCGTCAAAAAATTTATTTTTAAAATAACATTAAGAGGCCTTATTTTTGAAATTTGTTTTTGCACTGCGAAAGATAACTTGTTTCGAAACGTTGTGAGTTTTCATCATCAGCATCCTGCTGGTTTAAGAACATATCGTATCATGTCAACAACAACTTTATTATTTCGGAATATATATTGCCAATTCTTCATTTCTTTAATGATCATCCGAATTTTCATCATCATCATCACCACCACCAGCATCATCGTTACCATCACCATAACCATCACCATAACCATCACCAACTTTATATTTTGCGTACTGAGGCAAGTCTGTAATTATAAGATTTCATCTTTCTTGTTTCTGACTTCTTGTAAGTGCCGCCTGTGGCAAAATGTTTTTCGTCTGCTGCTGCTGCTGCTGTTACCCGCTCTCCCGCCATTAGCGTTCACTCTTGATCTATCGCATGGACTGCTACCCCTTCCTTTCTTCTCTTTGTTTCTATATTTTATTTCTTGTTTCTAATGTTTGTTTCAATGCGACGATGTGATTTGTTTCTTCGTTTTTTGTGGTTTCGTAGGCCGTGACCAAGCGAGGTTTCAATGTTTTTTATTCCATTTTCTTTTTGGAAATAAATTTCTCGTTTTAAAAATTTGTGTTTTATTATTGCCAAAAAATATAAAAACAATAATTAAACCTTGCGAAAAAACAACACTTCAATTTAATGCATCTCATTTTATAAACAAATTAAAAAGTTGAGTAGCCAAAATGATGATGTCGAAGGAAGGGATCATTTCGACTGCTAGTTTCATGCCAGCTAATGAATTTCACACTACGAGTTTAAAAATATTTCAAGATATTTAAATTCAATTTAAAAAATAAAAGGTTGCAAACAGATGAATGAATTCACAGCAAGACAAACATCATTCAACAAAACAAACATCATTCAGACACCATTCAAACATCATTCAACCAAACATTGCTTGCTGGCTCCATCTCCCAATCTACGTGAGAGTTCAAGTCGTAGATAAGAATGATTAAAATGAAAAATCTCATAAGAGGCCATTATGACGGCATTTGGAAACAATCAGCACCGATATATAATATCCATGGCACCGTCATCCCCGATAAACAGAGAGTAATAATATTAGCGGCTTCATCGCGGAGTGCACTGCATTCATATTTGATGTGCACTGGATGGCCGATGTGACGTCATCGATGATGTCACCAGACCACAATCCCCTCTTCTGCTCTTTTTGTTGCTACCGTTCGTTCTATTCTTTTCATAACCAGCTTCCTCCCTCACCAGCTTCGCATTAACTTTATATGAATATATATTAATATACAAAGGCTTGTATACGTGTGTGATTTTTTCGAAATTTTGTTAACACAAATTCCAGTGTGTACATACAACATTTATTTCTTACCCGCAAATTTACATATTTGTTTGTTGAACTTTTTTTCATATATTCATCAAAAATATCGCTGGAAAAAGTTGAACTCACGGATAAATTTGCATTGCATTGTTTTATAATTTGACGCTTGACACGATACAGTTAAACTTAATGTTATTAATATCACTATTATTGTTGTTTTTTTATACATATCCCATGTTATCAGCTCATTTTTTAATAACAAACAACCATCCTCCACTCACCCACCCAAACACACACACAGACACACGTACACAAACACACATACACAAACAAACACAAACACACACACAAACATACACACACACACAACAGGGTCGGCACTATTGCTACCGAACGAATCATGGAAAAAATATATGCCTGATAAGCAGCACGAAGAGCAATATGAAAATCTAACCGAGACCAGCAGTTCAGCGTGGAGTTTCTTGACGAGTGAAGCCTATCTCGTTCTCAAGTTCAAAATTTACGCCAACTTCAGAATTGAATTCTTGGTGGGTGCGTAGTAAACTATCGATGGTCACTCTGTTGTTGTCATGTTGCTGTTGTCGATATTTTTTGGATGATGATGTTTTTGTCAATGAGTCATTGTATTTCGAATAGTTTTTTTGCTGGGTGTGCTGAATTTATTATTTTATTTTATTCTGTACTTCTTTTTAATTGATCGTTTTTCGAGTTATAGTTTGAGTGCAGTTTAATTTTTAGAAATTGGTTTATATAAAATTGATTGATTGATTGATTGATTGATTGAACTTGTTGACGGCGTTCACGAATTGTTTATTTTTGTTTATCATTTTCATCAGAATTTTTTATACAAACTCACAATGAAAATTAGTGAGACATATAAATCAAATAATTTAAACTTAAATATTCTTAAATACACGTCCCACGCATATGGAAATTGAAGCACTATTAAACTATTTTCACGTTGTTCGAAATAACTTCATTCACTGCAAATGCAGTTCAGGACCACCCAGCCATCGGGACTGTTGTTTTACAGTGGACCGCCCAGTAAGGACAAGGATTTTGTTGCGTTGGAACTTTTTGAAGGTCACCTGAGGTACCTGTACAACGTCGGGAGTGGCATCCGGGTCCTACAGACAACTAAACACAAAAAAGTATCCAACAATAAATTGCAAACTCCGCCGAAATTCAAACTTCAAAATGATGGAAACGTCGCAAAGTTTAAAAATATTAACAACTCAAATAATACAAGCTATAACTTAAATTACAGAACCAGTAACAAAAATCTCAACAAAGATGGCCAGGGTGAAACAGAATTTTCAAAAAATTTTTCCAGTGTCATCCAGCAGAGCGGGACAAGTTCGTTGAGCGACAACAAATGGCATAAAGTCGTCATTTATAGAAGGACATTGGACAAGCATGTCATGGAGATTGACGACGCGATGCATCTTGATTACTTGCCTGACTCCAGGTTGCGTTGCTCTCATACTATCATGAAATTCAATAAGTTCATCACTGCATAATTTTTCACTTTTTTTTATCAATATTATATAAAGGCTACATACTCAATAAAGTCCAATATTTAACAAATCATTTCAAAACAAATAAATAAAATAAAACATAGCGAAAATTACGATCAAACAAAAAATTCTAGTATAACTCAACCTCTCAGTATATGAGTGAACATTCGTTTTAATACACACTGCATGCCGACTGCAGGTCAGTATTTTATGACCTGCCGAACAACAACCTGTACGTTGGAGGGCTGCCAGGTCACAGTGGTTACGTCACAAGCAACATGGCCTCACAGTTGAAGACCAACATTGGGTATCTCGGCTGCATGGACAACCTCACTTTGGATGGACATGTTGTCGATCTCGGTTCCAGAGAAGTGATCGTCGATGAGAAGATTGCTGCAGATATCGTTCCAGGATGCAAAGGCAAAAATTTCAACTACAAATTCAACTTTTTTCTATTAAGTTTAATATATAAGCTTACAGTTTCAGTTAATAAGCCAACTAAAAATTTGAAATATGCCCAATTGAAAAAAAATGGCATGCAATCGAACGCAGGACCAACAATGATGTGTCAGGTAGGAACGTGCCACAATGGAGGAATCTGCGTTCAACAGTGGTCACATTTCTACTGCGACTGCAACATGACCTCGTACTCTGGGAAGTTATGCAACGAAAGTTAACAAACGTTTTGTTTCTTTTCATCTTGAAACCATTCCATGCTTTGTTGGTTTTTGTACGGTACACCACCATCGTGAGAATCATGAGCTTTCTATGTGAAACAAAAACACTGTGAACTTATCCTAAACTCGTATAATATTCCGATTGCAGTACAAAAATTATAAAATTTAGAAAAAAAACAAACGAATTCACGCAACTACCGAACCCCCAAATAGGCAGTCTGGGTTTGTTGTTCGTACATCCGTCGGGGGGACTGATCAGCATGATGATGAGTGACGGCCAGAAGAAATCAAGTAAGAAGGATAGCATATGCTTCGGATTGCAAACAAATTACAACGGGAATGCCGTGATTGTAAGGTTGGCCAGCAAAACATCTGGAGACTTCGTGATCATAGAAATGGTATATTGAATGTTGCAGCTGTCGGTATATTGAATGTTGCTGTTGTTGGTATGTTGAATGTTGCAGTTGTTGGTGTGTTGAATGTTGTTGAATGCTGTTATATTGAATGTCGCAATTGTAGAATGTTGCAGTTGTTGGTATGTTGAATGTTGCAGTTGCCGGCATGTTGAATATTGCAATTGTCGGTATGTTGAATGTTGCAGTTGTCGGTATGTTGAATGTTGTTGATACGTAAGTTGATAACTTCATACTGAGCAATACTTTTGTTTTTACATTTGTGTATTTAGCTTAAATAAATGCATTTTTTCAAATAGAAAATTTTAAAATTTGTATAAAAAAAAACCTCCAACAAACTAAAGAATAATGGTTACATGGTAGTCAACTACAATATGGGCAAATCAACTCACTGCTTGGATACGAAAATGTTCAACGCGTCATCAGCCTCAAATGAAGTTGACTTCATCGATGGAAAGAAGTATCGATTAAATGACAACCGATATCACGTGGTCAGATTTGCACGCAGTGCACAAAATGCGTCTCTTATCATTGATGACTTGCCTCCTGTCTCTTATCACCCAACTGGTAGATGACAGTTTTGATAATTGAATATTATTTTATTCAAATATGATATATCCTGAAATAATAATAAATACAATTTAACAGATGTATTAATTTGAGAATCAATTAACAAGCGAAATGCATATAAATTAAAGGATTTCCTTCTGAATATTTCACCGCATGTGAAAATGCACTGTAGAAGAAAATAAATATTGGCGTAAAGCGCACACGATGCATGTCACATTGCAGATCATGTTTGCTCTAGATCATGCTGTCATCTGCTGTACGTGAGATGAAAGCATTCAGATACTTGCTCTCAAATAAACATAAACAGAACAATAAAAGCGAGAAGTAGAGTATGAAAATATTGACCGGGCGGTGGTGTGTGCGTACTAAAATATACAAAATGAAGTAGGTCACGCCGCATTAAATTTTAAATCGTTCGCGGTTAGTAAATATAAAAACAAATACAAGTAAGTAAATAAACAGCAATTTTTTAAAATTAGATATTTTAATAGAACGTGAAACAAATTTTTAGGTAAGCAGCACAGCACTTTCAACGACATCAGTCTCATTCAAATTGGAGCAAGTTCCAGTGCAACAAGTAACACTAACGAGCCTGCAATAACAAAGCCTTATTTCGGACGCCTCTATGGTATCATCAGTTGATTCTTTGAGATTATTTGCAATCCAATTAACTAGCTATTTTTAAACAAGAAATACTCGCAAAAAATTATTGTTATTGTAAACAAATATTTCTGGCACAACAAAAAGGCTTGAGTGTGAATAGCGTGAGAGTATCTGATCTGTTGGTGAAGCAAGACAATCGTACTTCGTCCTTTGGAGACATCAGGAAAGTTGACAAGTACGTCACCTCGTTAGTGCACAATTTTAAAGATAAATTCGAACAAAATATTTATTAATTGCCTTCACTTATATTAAACTTAGCATCAAGCCTAGTGAATTAAATAACGAGACATCAATAAAATTACGAACCTCAATGAAGACAAATTATCTCGTTACCACGATTAAAACGCCGTCGCCCATAGAAGAGAAAATAACAAAATGGACCAAAAGTAACTTGTGCAGCAGAAGGTTTAACACAAATTTATATTTGATGAAAGTTTTAGAGTTTTAACTGTTTCAGACTAAAATCTCAATTATTTTCGAAGTGGATTTCATTATTATTATCAATAAATTTAGACTTTAGAAAACAAAAATTTTAGTTATCATTGAAAAATGAAATTTTAGGCTAATTTTTACAAATATTGTATGAATTTAAAAGCGACCGACGAAATAATTCCAAAATGTTGAAACATTTGAAAACTGTAAACAAAAAATTATATTACATAAAATATAGAAGACAACGTAAATTATTGAATTTCCATTTTCAACATTAATTTGCAGGGGAGGTAATTCAGGGTGCGTCGGCGCTGAGCCGATTGAATACTCGGGATTTGATGAGGTCAGCTACAGCGATGACATGGATTTATTCAAAAATTTGCCAAAATCAACCACTCCGTTTGTCAGACGAATGGATAATTATCGACCGCGAACTCCTCTATTGCGGTTCACCAAAATGAACGAAACATCAGTGAACGACCTAAACTTTCAGTTGCTAGCATACAACCCCGTATCAACCAAAAGTACGTTGCTCGGCTCGGAAGAAACAGACCTGCCTCTACCAGCGATCGAGGACGAAGATCAACTGAGATCCATCCATTTCGTTAAAAAAGTCGGTGTAAGCATTGGACTGCTTATAGGTTCCGTCATTGCTGTGATAATAGTTTCCATATTTTTTTCCACAATTATAATTATCAGAAAAAATCGAAACAATGAAGAACTCGAATGGAAAACATTCGAGAAAGATCCAATCCATGTGGAAAAAAATAAGACCGACGACGTTGAGACTAAAAAGACAGAAGTAAAGTCGCACACGCTCTTTCACATCCTACCAGCGTCTAAAAAAATAAATACGAAGGAGTGGTACGTGTGAAAGGATGATTTCTAGCAGCTAACAACTTTGTGCCCAGCGCAAACATTCATCAGAAGAAAAATTTAAGAACATTACAAAGCATTTGAATATTATGAATTTGAACCAATACAATATGTAAATTTTATTCTTTCAGGATCAGTTACACCTTTTATGAAGACCGACACATTTAAACGGACGACGTTATGAACTCTAAGAGTTAAAAAAAAACTTTTCAATAATAAAAAGTCCCAGCTAGTGGCGTAATAAAATATATTTTCATTTACAATCCGTAACATTATAAACACATTTGAACGTGCATTTGAATATTGTTGCATGGGCTTTTATACACGCACGCTAACATGTCATCACATCTCTGCTATCATTTCTATGAATATTCACTCCGTCTTACATATTAGACCAAATAAATGGCTTTTAAATACCTATTTATGAATGTTCGAATCTTTTTTGTATGTTAAAACTGGCAATTTTAATAGAGTTATACAAAATTAAAAAATTACATTAGAACATTGAGAACATTTGTAGACGAATGAACCATCTCACATGAATGAGTTGTAGAATGCTATGCAGAAAACTAATTTTCTGGTAACGTCACTTAGCTGGCGGTTCTAAATTAAAAAAGCTGGCAATGTTTTTTAAGTTACTCGTCTTACCAGTGTAGGAGTCAAGAGGCACAGCCTGATTTTCCCTACCTATGTCCAACTTATTTAATTTGCTAGCTTCCTCTTTTTGAGTGGCCTTTGAGACTGATTCTATCTTGGAAGTATCAACTAACTTAGGACTTGTAGGTCCAGAATTTAAATCTTTCAGAGGTGATAAGGAAACAAAGCAAGGAGCTGGATCAATAATAACACAGTCTTCAGATGAGTCTTCATCAAAGGTATGAGCAGATTTATTCGGTCGTTTCGATACCGGGCCCAAATCGACTTCTGAGGAACGTTTCTTTGATGTTGAGGGAGTGTTGGAAACAGCAACAGCAGCATTAGTCTTATCTGCATCAATTCGATTTTGTTTTCGATTTTCAAAGGAAGTAACACCTTGAGCAGCGCCATCAACGGGTGAGAATGCAGATTCGGAAGGGAACCTACTGGAATCTGATCCACGTCTTTTCACTGTACTATCACTCATGACTGCATTGTAGGACGGAGATATATTTTTTCTGACGCTAGTGCTCAATTGTTGAGACTGCCTTTTAACGAGAAAGTTTGAAATTTTACCTGTGGACTGAGGAGTATTAATCTTCATCGACATTTTTGGTGTTCTAGCCTCCTTATTCATAATTGGTTCAACTTCCTGTGGCTGAGATGGAGTTGCGTTTGTAGACAGATGTCGTCTGCTTGATGACGGAGCGTTCGACCATTCCCATGCAGAAGGAATTGGCAAGTGTTGAAGTTGGTATTTTATAAGTATATCATCATTGACATACCACAACCTGTTTGAATGCTTTGCATCTTTTTTGTAAGTTGCAATTTCTTTTATTTTTGCTTCAAGTTGTCTTTTTGAAATAACAAAATTATCATCATCATTAATTTCAGGTATTTGAGAATTTGATGCATCTAATTTGTTGCGAGTAAGCCAAAAATGTTTGAACTCTCTTGTCATTTTATCAGAACTCCAATAGCAGCCATGAACCAACTTGATCAGAAAAGGGATAGCTGTGAAGGAATAAAATGTTGACAAATACTAAATAAAATGTTCCTTAGCTTAATAAATAGAGAAAAAAAGATACCTTCCTCTGGAACTGCATATATTCGTTTTTTAGATGTAGATTTGTCTTGGGTGAGTGGCACTTCTGAGGGACTTGATGTGATACTTGATGATGCAGGCTCGTTGAGGTCAATAGGAAACTCATAGTTGATCGGAACAGCCTGTGAAAAATTAGCGATTTGATTGACGAGATGCGATTTCATTGACGAGATGTGATAAGATTCATAAGATTTAATTTCATCTATTAAATATTTTAACTATTGGATGTAATGTTATTGGTCCTGTAGGTTTCCAAGTAGTAATGATTACTATGCTGATCTACACAATTTATTTCCTCTTTTTAATAAGATAACAAAAAAGCTTTTGCAAACTACAACACAAATGTACCAGAAATAATGCACAATCCAAACAAAAAAACTGGAAAAAAACAACAACAAATTCAATCATAACTGCGAATTAACTTTGTGAATTAATTAATTAGCAAATTAATTAACTTTTTTAAACTTTTAATAAATTGAAAAGGAAAATCTGGAAAAAAGTAATTCAATATTTACCATGAAATCTTTAAAGAATTTGGCCATGTCTTCATATTTTTTATCTGCTGGAGTTTTGTTGTTAGAAGAATTGCTGGTATAGTAGGGGTTCCAGAAGAACAGGCCATGGAACACTGGCTGGAGTTTCTCGATTTTGTTACATTTCATGCTAGCTTCAAAATTTTTAGCTTTCAACATTTGCATCTGCTTCAGGGCTTCTGGAGAAAACTTTATGAGATAAAATAATATCTCATTGCTAATGATCCAAATAAAAAGGTTGTCTAAAAATTCGTTTCCTCTACCTCATTAACTTTTTTTGCAATTTAAAAAATGTAAGTTAGTTTGTAAGTAATTTAAAGATGAAAAAATTAGCGATTAAAACATCATCAAATGAGCATCAGTAAGAGAAAATAAGACGAATGATTTTGCCAAGAATTAGGTTGCTTTCACTCACATCATCTTCGTCACCCTCATCACATCCCTCCCCTTCAGAAAGGTAACCATGGGGAACGAAAAATTCATCATCATCCCCTTCTTCTTCAACCTTTTCCGCATCTTCTGTCTCTTCTTCCCCCTTCAAAAAATATGCCATTAGATAAATTACATTAAGTTAAAACCTCTCATTTTTGTACTACTAAAAATTATGGAATCAATGAATTACAATACAATTTGTGGACTGAAATAGATTCAATCCCACTAAATTATTTTTCAAAAGTGAACACAGTGCACAAATCACTTTAAAATTAAACAAATGATATCAAATTATTGATAAACTTATAAGCATTACATTGCATGGATAATATTGGTAAAAAAAACATAATTTAATTTAACTATAGGCATAAGGTACAATGAATGAAAATTGATAAACTAAATGAAAAACAAGAACAACCAGAACAACAACAACAACAACAACAACAACACAACAATAACAAAAGCAACAACAAGAACAACAGAATGTAAGATTGAAAGAAAATAGATATTGACTTCAGAGTTGACGATACTCTCTCCAGGTTCCTCTTCTTCCCACTCCTCATCAGAATCCACCTCGTAATCCAGATGCTTGGAATCCTTTGCAAATGGTCTTCGGCCTGATACAGAACTGCTCTTCTGTAGAAAATAAAGATAATTATAAATGTTATTACTAAAATGCAAACATAAATTAATGAATGAAGAAATTAACTTTTAAATGAAAAAAAACCTATTGCTACTAACTTTCATCCAAGTGCCATAGTATGCTGGTCTATAGTTGTCATGAAACTGGAGAAACTTCATCTTCTTCATGATTGGTTTCATCTGATCATCAACAGTTGCTGCACTGCCTTCAGAAGCGTTTGTGATAATGATCAGCTCATCTTCATCTCTAAGAAAAAAAAATTCAATTGAAATCTAAGTAAATTTTTTTAATTTAAAAAAATACAACATATGAAACGTTTTCATTGAAAAAATTTTGTTCAAAAAAAAAAAATAACAATTGAAAAACGACCTTAAATACATAAGAACGTAAAAAAACATGTACATACATTTATGCATGAATGTGCACAGATTCATTCGTGCACAAATTTAAAAAAAAAACAGAATGAAGAGTTTAAACTGAAGATAAAGCCGATAAATACTTTGGCCAGGTTTTCGTTGAAACCCCAGGTTTGTATGTTTTGTCATTCAGTTGGTCCAAATACAACCTATCAGGGGCAACCTTCAACATTTAAAAGAAAAAAGTAAGACTGAACAATGGTTAAACTACATGCATGCAGTTGAGTGAGAATGAGATTAAAACAATTTGAAAAGTAAGACAAAAAAAAGTATGAAGAATGACCACTCTAGATGTTAGAAAATGCTCCAAACTGCGCTTTCGTTCAGTTAAGTTGGTCCTGTTGTATCGTGTGCAGGGTGCCAGCCTCATGTCCGACTTCAACTCAAAAGGCATGAAGAGAGGATTGACGGAGTCATTCTGCAAAATAAAAGCCATTCAGTGAAAAATGTTTTGAAAGGTTGACAACACTCAAACATTAATATAGATTAAAAAAAGTTAATTAATTCACCAGCACACATAAAAACACATTAAATAGCACATACTGGTTGCTTTGTGGAGATAGCAGTTTGTTTCTTCGTTGTTTTTATGAAAAAATTTTGCATCAGTTGCTTCTCTTTTTCAGTCTAAGTGTTAAAAATCAGAAGCAATAAATAAAAATGAAAAGATTACTGATTAATAAATTAAATTGTAAATGATTACAAATTATTGCAAATAATTTATGGCTCCCACTCTAATCTTAAACATTTGCAGATAAATTATTTCCTCATTCTGAACAAAGGAACTACCATCATTTTGTAACTGCATCATGCCACCATCCTTTAAAAACTAACTAGACAGATTTATTTTTGACCAGAACTAATTTTCAAACAACATTCACATACATGAAAATTTTCACTTGGTTTACTGCTACCTAAGCAAAGTATCTGAAATGTTCAACCTGTTCGAGACATCAAAAAACAACACCAAATATGAAATAGATCCAGTCAGAAATTTAAAATCAGCCATTAATGAAAACCTTTTACAACATTCATCCATTGATCATAATCACTGATCTGTTAGAGATGCGAGAGACTTAAAATTGTGAACAAGACCTGATGTTATTCAATCTTACCAGAGTAAGACATGTTTAGAAAATTACCAGGTTACTTGGCTCGTTCACTTAGTGAACCTTTCAATTTGTAATAAGCTTAAAGGAAACAAACAAAAAATATTTTTACATACTTTATTTTTTTCTTCTTCCTTCTTTCGCTTTCCCTCCAACTTAGCTCTGACAAATAAACATTAAAAATGATTATTCTGTATTTCCTAATTAAAATCATGCATGTGTAAGGGCTATAAAATGTATAGACAAATAAATCAACAAAAAGTTAATTTCATGTTTGAAAAATAATTCTGGAACTGAACAAAATAATCTAACTCTTCTTTCTTCTTCTTCTCTTCAACTTGCTCCAACTTCTGTCTTCTCTTTTCCTCTCTCTCTCGTTCCTTATCCTCTTTTTCCTTTTCCTTTCTCATTTTTAATTCATTTTTTTCTTTTTCTTTTTTTTCCTTGAACAAAATTAAATTTAATTATGACCAAAAAACTGTGCTATAATTAATTTAATTTAATAATTTATAATAATATAATTTAATACGTTCACATGAACACAAATTTAACCAAAAAAGGACGTAAAAAATAACTAGAAGATAATAAATTTATACTTTTTCTTCTTGCTTTTGCCTTTCTTTCATTTCTTTATTTTTGAGTTGTTCCAATTTTTCCGCCTCCTGTGAACAAATAAAATAATCTATTTTAACAAAAATTCACGAGACATTTCATTTAAGAATAAATTATATTAGAAAACTTAAAACAAAAAATAATTGAAAATTTACATTTAGCTTTCTTCGGGTTGAAGTATTAACTTTTTTGACACCGTTAAGATTAAGAAGTTGACTCTTATTCAATGCAGTAAAATTTTCGTCATCAGCATCTACATCAATGGGAATGATTGGATTGGCTGCATTGGCAGTTGCTGCCGTTGCATCTGTTGGTTCGCTGTTGCAAGATTCCATGGACACGTTCATGCTGTTGTTGTTACTATCATTGGCGGCTTGGTCGGAGGTTGCTGAAAACTGTGGTGTAATGGTACTACATCCATCATCTACATTCATCTGTTCTTCTGCATTTGTCTTCATTTCCCAACTGGAAAACCAAAAATTAGTGGAAGGATTACATATTATAATTAATAATTTTTGAAACCCCATATGACTTTGACGGGTAGTATTAATATGTAAATAAAATATATACAAATATGATGTCATCATAGTATCATACATAGCATACCATACATATACTAGTATACATACACATTACTAATTATATTACATTACATACCCTTTTAATTACTACTAATTCTAATACAAAACAAATATATAAAACAGCTACTCTTGTTTTTTACTTGTAACTTATATAAGACATATATTGTAAGTTAAATGAGTGTTAATGTTCAAATATTAAGTTATTACTCTAGTACTACTATGCTATATATTTAATATAATTAATATGATTATCATTATATAAATAAATAAATAAAATGTGTACATAATTAAATAAAATACAAAAATACATACAGGCACACTTATAATAAAAAATAAAATTATGCATACATACATAGACACATACTAACATACATACACATACAATACAATCCAGCAGACAGTACAAGACCAGAAACCAAAACTTACTTGGCGAGCTTGATGTTGAATTAATTGTATTGTTGATGAGTTGATGACTTGATCTTGATGCTGAGGTGATTCTGATTATGATTCTGAGGTGATTTTGGAACAAAACTATCCAGAAAATGTCATTGAATTAACTGAGTGAAAAATCGGCAATTCCTAACCTATAAAGTTTACTGTTACCGCGATTAAAATAAAACTACACCTGAAAATTTAATGAAATTTTAAACGCGTTAAATAATTTACGGGCACAATTGTTTACAAACTGATTTTTGGCGCTAAACATTTATAGAGGATGCTGATTGTAGAACTGCTCCTTTGATATTTGTCGGTATCGAGTCGTTTTTATGACCGAGTTTTTCTAGTCTTTCAATGTAACTTGGTGTTGATTTTGCACCTACATGGTCTTAAATGGCATGTAATATCTAATTTTTTTGATTATAAACTCAACAAAATCAAAATCAGCATTGACGTCAGAGAGAAATGCATTAAAATAGGGGCAGTAGGGATATCCCGGCAGTTAAGGTTAGTTTGAGTAATTGGCGACATGGCGAAAGTATTGATGTAATAATAGGAATTGAGATTAAGCAGTTGTCCCGAACATGAAAACATTTCTAGGTATATACATTTGCGTCATTGGTCAGCTTTCATAAATATGATAATAGTCAGATAATTGAATTAGACAGTTTTAATAATTTCTTGTTTTTGTTTTTTGCGTTTAAAGCGATATAGAGGCTAAACAACCCATATTGTCCAGTTGATATGTAAAAATTGACAATGTATGTACGTCGAACACTTAAATTAAAAGGATATGGTATATTACAAACGATCGATCATTTTAATACATAAATTCCAAAGAAAGATTCAAAGTAATTAAAAGTAATTTTTTCATATTTATTCATAAATATCAAATGATATCAGAGATAATAAAATGATAAATATTATATAATTTTGGTTCTACTGTTTGGTATGAAATCAAAAGCCATCTTCATCGTCGTTTATTATGCTGTATAGAGTGATGCTGTGTGCGGCCAAGTGTTGTTGAACCATTGCTACGTTGTTACGAGTAAAATTGCACTCGCTGGTAGCTTCATCCATCGTAACACCTCACATAGTACGCACGCTTTAACCGATTGCGCGCCTTTAAGCTATGTAAATGTTCACACAATGGTAAGAGCTCCTACGTAATATTTATCACATATTTCGATGGGTGATCTATGAATATGTATTACAACTGACAACATACTTGAGTGATTTTCATGCAGTGAGACATCTCGTCGTTTATACCCTACTTGGTATATCATTACACAAAAGTAATCCGATAAAATGTGTAATCGATTATTTTACCAATTCCATTTTCTTAGCCGAACTTTCTTTATAAAAACTGCGGCCTTTTTTCTTGCCTTACCGTGCAATGTTTGGTGCAATTAACCGCAGGCTACTGAACTTGAATGGTGACTCATTTAAAACTACTCAAAATTGATAAACCACTCAAAATACTTGGACTTGAAAAAGTTTCCAAACTGGTAATCAACCACTTTTGAAAACTTTTGTGTACTCGAGTGAAAGTATTTAAATTAGTTTCATCAGTACATTTATCAAGTGTTTTATTGTTGAAAATGCATGTTTTAAAAAAAGGTTAAAAATCTGTTACAATCTTCCTAGGATCAAAGGTATCAATAACACACAAACAGCGGGTAACTTTTTGTTATCTTCGAACCTGGTCACTACACTCACTGCAAAACAGCACCAGGCGACCTTAACCACTAGGCCACCACACCGCCCAAATATGTCAATATTTTGTCGTCAATTTTTGACTTTTAAATTTACTTTGTTTTTTAATTCTATATCAAATATAATATTAAAAAGTATCAGATAATTGTATCAGATAAAAATTTAATTTGTTTTTTAATTCTATATCAAATATAATATTAAAAAGTATCAGATATAATATATCTAATTCTTAAAAGTCTCGAAATACTAACAACTAATGATTAATAACATTTTGAACAATGGAAACTGCAAACACGAAACAGTATTCAACGTCATAACAACAGTTAGCACTTCAAAATTATGTTTGTTATCAGACGTAAAAATGAACTGACTTGGCGCAGTCTCAATGATTTATGGCTGTTTGCTCAAAAAGCGAGTTATAATGATGCCAGACCAGACGAGAGGGGAGGCATCGTGAAATCTGCGGCATATATTACTGAGACATTAAGCACATAAGCCCTGCGGATGTATCATGCACCTCAGATCTTCTCTTTGATAGCTTGCCTGCCTGCCTGCTACGTGTCGTACGTGTGTGAGTTCATTTAATTTTTTCACTCACATCTTTAAAATAATTTTTTTGTAAAAACCTGTACAATAACTAATTTCTGAATAAAATTTGGAAGAAATTCACGTCACAAAATTTTTTCAAAGAGAAGAAATCGTTGTTTCGAATATGGATGTCTACGCACTACACACATTGCGTCGCGTGTTTTACATTGATTGTTGCAGAGGCAGTACATCAAGATGTTCTGCGTTTAATGTTCAACAAAGATAACATAATCTCTAATCTGGGGACAACAATGTACATGACCTTGACCTTTGTAAATGACCTCGACCCAGGACACTGTAGAAAGACAAGAACACTGAAAAATTAAATATAAGTCACTTCATTAGGCGAAAGTTTAAAATGAAGAGAAAATCTTTTCAGACAGGAGTAGATAATTAAATAACTGACTATTTATGCAAGTATTTTTTGGTAAACGAACTGAAACACACCACACAGATTAGTATACATAGTTGGTATGTAAATAATGTATAGATATATTTATAATATATATTATGTATTTAATATTAAGTCAAGTTATTTTGTGATACAATCAATGGTGCTTGTTTGTGAAAGAAAAGAGGATATATGCTACAGTAATGTATCGCAGTATGATGCGACGCAGAGCTCTCATCCCACATACCAGCAGCTTCACTGAAACGAATAAAACGGTTAGCCAGCCTCATATTTCATTCTTTAATTTTTAAGCCCGCACATCAAGTAATAAGATTATTTCATGGAATCCTGCTGTCGCCGCTCAATTGGATGCTGCTGCTGTTGCTGCTGTTGCTGCTGCTGCTGTTGACGGTGGTGGTGGTGCCTCAACTCCATCGTCCTTGTTCCTGTTTGTTTCGAAGTTAATCTGTTCACATTTGTTCGTGTTTGGAGTCTGCAAATTTCAAAATTTTCAATGTAAATATAAGTTTAAAAGATTGAAAATTTGTTGATTCGACAAGCAATTGATTGATTCAATATATTAAACGTCAGTTTTATAAGTGATGGTACGTACTATTTAACGGAGCATTTACTAAATGAATGAATTGACGTTTGCATTGACCTTCTGAGATTTATTAATTATAAAAAAAGCCATATGCGTGATATAAACACAAATTCAATTAACAAAAATTACGTTATGTAAAAAATTTTATTCACACTCTGTGTGCAATTTGTATGGGAATGCATGATGTTTAAGCAGGTCTGTTTAAGCATTTCTGTGAGGCACGTTCAAAAAAAACACCACCAACCACACATTAAAAAATGAAAAAGTTGAACTCGATTTCATAGCAGCAGGACGACAATTCTGAAACCTTTCAAATACAATAAATGACTCAACGTGTTGAAAGTTCGCCAGAGGAGTGCTTATAACTTCTTCCACGATTCTTCCACTTTTCACGTCTGCTATGTTATGTCATTTATAATTATTTACAATTAATAAAATGTATGTGTAAAATACAATGTGTACAACACAACTTTACAATACAACACGCCGTCTTTATGATAAATGTTCAAAAAAATAAAATATATCACTATTTTGTATTTTAATCTTAAAAACTCAATTGGAAGATTATTCATTATTAACTATGCAGTTACATTACCTTTAAACAACGCTAGCGATATGAACATGTGTGAACATAATAGAATAAAACATTTTTCCGATATAAATTTAATTGAAAGCTTCTCTGAGTTGATACTCAACCCTGCCATTGATAACAGGATTAAACAACATTAAACAGCATTAGATTTTCTCTTCCTCTTTCATCCGTCATCCGTCTTTCCAACGTTTTCTTACTTTTTCTCTTGGCCACGAAGTTTTTTTATAAAAAATTTTTATTTAAAAAAAATGTTTATTACAAATAACCTAAATGTTCGAACGGCAAATTAGTTCCAATTGATAAAAACTGAAACATAAAAATAGAAACATCTTCACGTTGTATAAAACAATTCTTAAGAATAAGAGCATCATTAAATATTGCAAATGGGCTGAAAATACCCGCATGCTTCCCACATACCTGGCCAGGCCACAACATATTTTAGAATTACAACAACGTGATCAGCTTAGTTAAAATGGAAGAAAGGAAGACGGCACGGCGATCATCGTCACACGCAACATCATCATCAACAATACTTTCATCGCCATCAT